AACCTTTGGAAACTATATTTGCTTTTAAGGAATGGGATAAAAGTTCATGGGAAAAAAAACAAGAAGAAAAACCGGTAAAAAAATTTGTTATAAAAGATGATTCATTTTGGCGCAGTACAAATTATGATTTGAAGACAACAGCACAATTAATTAAGGTGCTTAGAATGGTTGATGGTGAGAGGGCCCCGGCTATGAGATTTATTTATGAAGCAATGAATATGACTAAAGAAGATATTGCAAAAGATTTGGGAGGTTAAGAAAGTGCCTACAAAAAAATATAAAATATTATAGATGAAAAGTGGGATCGTCAATTACACCAACACTTACATACTGCTGCATACTATTTAAACCCTCAATTTCATTATGATAAAGACTTTCATGTTGATAAAGAGGTGAAAACTGGTTTGTATGCATATATGAACAGACTCATTTCTAAAGAATACTACCTCAAAATGAATGATCAACTTAAGAAATTTCATTTGAAAAAGGGAATGTTTGGATTTAAAGCAGCACAAGCATGCTACAAAATATGATCTCCTGGTACGTTTATAATTTGTATATTTATATTTCTAATTTTAATATTTATATTTCTAATTTTAATATTTATATTTCTAATTTTAATATCTATGTTCAAGTCTTCTACTTCAATCAATATTCATAAAATATTATTCATTTTCATGTAGAACATCGGTGGAGTCAGTTTAGAGATGATGTTCTTGAATTAAAAGTTTTTGCAGTTAAAGTTCTTAGCCTAACATGTTCTGCTTCTACATGCGAGCATAATTGGAGCATCTTCAATTAAATTCATACTAAGAGAAGAAATAGATTAGCGACAGATCGAATGAACAAACTAGTTTATGTTATGTTTAACAAAAAACTTAAAAATAGACATCTCAAATTACTGATGCAATGAAGCATTAATAATAAAATTGACCCTTGTTGATGATTTACAATCTAATGATGAATTGGTTACAACTAAGAATATTGATATTTCTGAAGTTGAAATGAAGGATAAACTCATGTCAATGAAGACAATGAAGCAACTACTCATATATATAAAATAAAGAAACAAAGTGCGAACTTCAAAAAAATTCAAAGGTATTCTTAAATATAATGAATTATTTTTATGCTATTATTATTTCATTCTAGAGCTAATGAAATATTAACTGGTATAGGGGATAAAAGAAAAAATATTATAGATGAAGAAGAGTTTGAGGATGACTTTGACATTAATTATGAAGATTCTTCTGAAAACAATCAAAGTGATGATGAGCCTACATTGGATCTTAATCCTAAAGGGATGTTTTATTTTTAAGTGAGTTTATTTTAAATCTTCTTTTTCCAGTAATATACTAATATTATCTTAGAACAAATCATCAAATTCACAATTGACATATATTTTGTTATTTTTTATCATTATTCATAATTTTAAATTACTTTATTTTTTTCATTTTTTAGGCTTACACCTCGATCCGCCTCGAGGCTTACGCCTCGCCTCACTTAGCCAATACGCCTCAATTCCCGATTTTGCCTTTTAAAACGTTGTCAAAGATTATAAAAGTATGAATACCCCCATAAGCCCCACTACTAAGAATAAGACTCCAATTAAAAATATATAGATCAATAGATTTATAAGAGAATGATAGGGTCATTATTGTATCTTATTGTTAATAGATATGATATTATGTTTAAGGTATGTCTCTATGCATGTTTTCAAGTTGATCCAAAAGAACAGGTGTTTAGACTTGGATAAAATCATATGTACTATTATTTCTTAATTTTCTATTTATTTGTTGATTAGTTTCTTTGTCTCTGTGTTTTTTTCGCGTTTCACAATTTAGTATTATTGTTGTTATTGAATGCTTGTATGAATATAGCCTAATTGCTTATATAATTATGGTGTATGGTGGCAGTTAATGAGAATTAAAATTTTGGCATTCACAAATCATTTTGTACCGACAAATTCGTACTGTACTATCAAGTTCTTATTATACGATATGCTATCATGCTACACAATTTGAATTCTTATAATTACAAGGTGTGTAAATCAACCAATAGATGAAATTAAATGTATAAAGTCAAATCATACCGTATTATCCCACATCATAATGTATGATTGGATCATGTCAAAAAAGTAATTATAAGATCATTGGGATAATCGAATGTTACTTGACTGTACTATATGATCACAAAAATCTCAGAAATCCTATAAATATCATCCTACTTCGCTAATTCTAGACAACACTCACAACTTCCTCAAGCTCTTTAGCCTTTTTTTAAAGATCATTAATGCATCCATGACTAGTAAGAGGACCTCAGGACCATAGTATAGTACTACCAAAAAGCCAAGTTTAAGAATTAATGAGCTAATTTTTAGCTCAATAAATGAACTAAAAATCAGCTCATAATGAGCTAAACTTCCACTTGACATAAATGAGCTAGAGAAGTCAAAAATCAAATATTAGGATTTGATTTGACCCCCCCCCCTCCCTTGCCTACATCAACGTTTCAATCATATATAACTCAAACTACAAGTTGGTGGACTCATTCCTTTAAATTCCTTCCAGTGAATTCATTGTAACCCTAATTCAACTCTAGGCTTAACTGTTTACTTTTCATGCATCATATTCTAATATATCATTTCTTAAACATATAAATGATTTGCATGACAATTATAAAAATTATTTACCATACAAAATAAAAGTTTGCATTCGCAACGCCTTTTTTCTAATGAAAGTTTAACAATTGTAATGTTATTCATAAAAAAATATTAGGGTTAAATGAAGCAATTGCATTTTCATTTATGTGTATAAATTAAATGAACAACAAATTGGTCCCTAAATTTTTTAGATGTCTTCATTTCAGTTTCAACATTCTGTGTCCATTTAATCCCACAACTGATCATATTTAAACTGATTTGGTCTTCTATCAAGCTTTTATTTCATTTAATAGAAATTTGTGGAGTGAAGTTTTTCATGATGATATTTTGTGCTTTAAGGGTCAAATGGTCAATATCATTAATTAATATCAACTTAAACTAATAAGATTGAATCTAAAAAGCCAAAATACCCTCATAAAAAGCTTCCCACCACTAACTTCCATCTAAAAAGTTGACGTCAAATCCAAATTGGTTAAAGATTGGAGAGTCAAGAGATAAAATTGAACATATGAAAATTTTTGGACTAAAATGGAGACAGCTAGAAAGCCCAAGGACCATTTTGATCCTTTATTCTATATATAAACCTATGTGTGTGCAATGTTTCCCTCCAATTTTAAGGCTAAACCAAACAAAAGTTGTGCTCTCGTTAGTTAAGCTAGATGCTTTGACCAATATGTTGCTTGCAATGTTTGGTTCTTTCAACTATATGTCAGGCATTATTTTTGGCTTTTGATGTTTATGAAGTTTGGCTATTGCTTTGTGTATAGGATGCTTGGTTTCAGTGTGGCTCCTCTTATGGGTGATGGGCTTCTTAGCCAACTTCTTGATTGTCCCTTATCCTATATTCACACTTGATTGATGTTTCATTCATTTTGGGCCTCCTTATGCACAATAGTTGGTTGGTAAAGAGGTGTCTTTTTGTTCCTTGCCGCCCCTACTGTGTGCATCGATGGCTACCCTAATTTTTAGTCTGACGGGTTAGCTTGGTTTCATCGGTGGTTGGAAAAATTAATTCATCATGTTCAGCGAACATTTTAAGCATTTCTTGATATTTTTTTATTCCACCAATTTACTTCATTAAATCAATTATAACATAATTATCTTTATTAAATGGCTTTTTTTTTTTAATCATGTGTATGAGCTAATATTTGTGTTGGATCATCAGTTCATGTTGGTACATGGAGAAGGGAGTTTTTTCCCTTTTTCTTTTTGGCCAAAAATTGAAGCAACTATCAAAATAACACTGAGTCATTGCACAAAAACAATGGAGAGTATAACAATCAAATTGTTGAATTATATATATATATATCCAATCATATAACATAATTTAATTAGAGATTGTGAATCACATATATATACAAATTTGATTTGTTGTTTGACAATTACTTTTTATTTATGCTACCTTCTCTATTGATGATCGATTAATAAATGAGGTCTTTTTAAACGTCCAATACAATGTTGATTTTTCTATAAGTAAACTTTCTATTCTCTCAAGATAGCTGCAATGCTAGTCCTTGCATTTTATTTGTAGATAACCATACTCATTAGAGGATAGAGCAAGCGAGCAAGAGAGAAAAAGAAAGAAAGAAAGGAACTCAAATGCAAAATTGAAGTTGCTCACCCTTTCAAGCATATTAAAACTGTGGCACACATAATTGCGGATGGTCTTCTATCATTTCCCCATATGCATTAGATTCATCAAAATTTTCATGACAGTGTTGATGGTTTGGGATGCATTAGAAATTATTTGCTTTCTTGCAACTTAGAGCATTCCAAAACTAGGATTTGATAAATAAATTGTTTGCAATCAGTAAAATGTGTTGAATAATTTGGTTTCAGTTGGATATCTATTTGGGCCTGGCACCACAAATTTCCAACATGAAAGCATAAAAAGAAAGAAAAGATGCTTGGAGATAATTGGTACTTATCTAAATACGCCAACCATCTCAGCAAACTAAAACATCATCTGCGAAATACTCTATTATTATACGGATTAATTACGCAAGTTTGGAACAATTGGGACTTATCTAAATACGCCAACACCAAATAAATAATATAACCTCACATGTATCAGAGACTTAATTGTGTTTATTACAACTAGATCAAAAGCATAACACGGACACCCTTGATTGTGTTTATTACCAGCACAACCTGGCAATAGAGACCATTTAAACTTTTAATTAGTCTGAAAGTTCTATCAGTATCCTAAAGCAATCAATTCCAGGATTCATACATAGAAGCCCATACAATCATTACACCAAAATTTATATGATGATTAAAAAGACAGAAATGGATAATACGAATTAGAAAAAAAAAAATGGATAATACGAATTGAGCTTACTTTTCTTTATTTCATAAGCTGCTTTGCTCTCTCTGAAGTCCGGAGTATGCAAAACCTTCAAAAATGTAATAATATCATGATTTTAATGTCTGGAATTTATGAAAGTACATAAAAGTTGTATGCATAAGAATGTGAAACTATTGAAATGGTGGTTTAGTTGCTTAAACAGTGTTGACCTATATGTAATAACCAGAAGAACAAAAAAAATCTGCACACCTCGGACTGTCGAAGGATCCCCGAAATCATGCATGAAATCCTGCGAGCTGCTCTGATCTACGATCAAATCCCGCAAATCCCGCTGTGCTCGCGTCTCATCCCGGGATTTTTGCGTAAAACCAGCGACGATGGACTCGATCCCACTCCCATTTGCGCCTATAAGAAGGAGACGAAATCTCTGCTTCGACTCCCTCTCCACGCTCGACTCCAAGCTCCCTCCGATCCCTCTTCTTCTCCGATCCACTGCTGCCGATCGCTGGCCCTCCTCCGATCTCCATCCAGCCCCAATTTCCTATCCCGACCTCCAACCCTCTCCTCTGTCCGATTCCACACAAAAAACCCGTCGCTCCTCCTCCGACTGCTTGTGTCGGTCCCTTGCGCAAGCCGAGAGAAAGAAAGAGAGAGAGAGAGAGAGAACTCCTCCATACCTCCACTCCAGCAGGCCGACGTCAACCCAGTCCCGATACCTCTCCGACCCCGACCTCACACAGCTCTTTCGATCCTCCCATACCCGTCGGCTGAGAGAGAGAAAGAGAAAGGGAGAGAAACCGAACTCTATCTGGCCGAACTCGCCGAACTCCTCCCTTGCTTTGGCCGACTCCATCTCCCTCCTTCCTGTTCCGATCGGAAGCAGCGACGAGAGCTCGCTCGCTGTGCAGGTAGTTTTCTCCCATTCGCGCTTCTTCGGTTTGATCCTCGTGAAACCAAAGAAGAGAGGGAGAAAGGTTAAGATATAATTATATTTTTTATTTATTATAATTATTATGATTAAATAATTATAATTAATTTGATTAATTATAATTAGTTTTAATTAGAATAATTTTTAATTAATCATAATTTAATTATAATTAATCACTATTTATTAATTATAATTTATCAAAATTATTTAATGTGTTAGTTATAATTAAAATGAATTATAACTAATTGTTTTAAATAATTTTAAAAGTTATAAC